GGAAACATGTCTTACTGGTTATAAAATGCTTGTGACCACATCCTCACAGGGCCATACAAACAATGGAGAGGGAGTGGTAGGAAGTGAGCCAAGATAGGTGTAATTCTTACCTCTACCATGGGTTTTGTCACATAGCCCTGAGATTATTTGCTTGACCTTAAGCAAGAGTCACATTTGACCCTTACCATAAATAAGGAAGAAGAAAAAATATATTCTTACACCTGTATATTGTGTTGCTTGGGATTATAACCTTAAATTATTGGTAATAAACTGAGAGACACAAGGGAGGGATGACCTGACTGTAGTGACACATTTGAACAAAATCATGATATGGACAAATGTCACAATAGGATTAGACAACAGAGTTGTGGTGCAGAAAAGTAGACTCCCTTTAATGGAATCATAGAGTTGGAAGGAACTTCATGGAACATCGGATCTACTTTCTTTATCTTCCCTTATGTTTGAAATCCTCTCCCACTTGTTTAGTATGATGGCCACAGTTTAGCATTACATTTGTCGTGGGGCTCATTACAGAAAAATGCCCTCAAAGTATGATTCAGCATAGGTTTTTACATCAAGGTTGTAAAGAATTTCAGATTAGATCTGATCATACAGTATGTTGACTTTGATTAGTACATAATGTAAAAGTAAGTTATAGCAAACTAGGGAATAGAGAGGATAATTTGCACACATGAGAAAGGAGTACATAAGCTAAATCACAGAAACCAATGGCAATGTAACATGAGAGGAAAATAATGTGGCCAAGAAGACATCCTGAAATGTCTATAGCAGTCATTGCAAAGTAACTTCTAGAAATGAAGGCCACCAGCACATACAACAACATGGGGTGTTTTTTTTTAAAAAAGCAATACTTTCTGACTTTCTTCTCTTGCCTGGAGGAAAAGAGCTATCTGAGGAAGGATAAGACTGTCAATAGTCACTAATCCTGATGGCTACATCCTTATTAATTGCTTGGAAATATGAGCAGACGTGTGCTGTAGGCTTCTTGCAGACTTGTTATAGCCACTGCTGTTTACTGTGGAGAGGGAAGTTGGGTTAGTTAGTCCTTTTTCCAATTTGGTATGGTGAATCTTAGAATCATTTTCAAGTCTAAAACAGCATTTTCCTTCTTTACGGCAGCATCACTCTGATGGCTCATGTTAAATTTGTGCTCAAAAATAATCTCAAGGTCCTTTTCACATAGGAAATTGCTGAGCCAAGTGTCCCCCTCCTACACCTGTGCATTTGGTTTTTGAGGGGTAAATGTAGAATTTTGCATTTGTTTCTGTTGAATTTCATATTAAATATATATTTGTGTCCTGTCTTTTTAAATGCATTCGCCTTGACATAAAGAATGCCAATTATGTGCCAGGTAAAGTCACACCCTGGCTGTTGTCCAAAACAAATAAGTGCATTACTAATAGCTGCTGACAACCTCGAAGCCTTTTGGCTACCTGCACATATTTTATAATGATCATCAATTAGTATCAACTGATTCTTTTTGTTCTCTGTCAACCCAAAAGAAAGTATTTTATTGAAAGAAATGTGGGCCTAACAAGGCATCAAATATTTCTTATATATTGTTGGCTTAAGGAAGTTATAGGCATTCCTTTATATATACCGTAAGTTGTATCTACATCTACATCAGGGAAAGGCAAAATGTGTTGTGCAGGCTTCATGTGGTCCTCCAGGACCAGTTCTGAGACACCCCAGAATGTCTCCAAATGCACTCTAGGGGTAGGAAGGCCATTTCCACCACACCTCGAAGCCTCTTGGCACACCAGGGATCAAAATATGGTTTGCAAAATTATTCAAAACAATATTTTGTCCACAAATGCCCCAAAATGTCAACTAGGGGACATGGGGTCCCTTGGGCAGACTTCGATACAGGTGAGGTCTTTTTTTTAAAGTCTCAAGCTTAGTGAAATTGTCCATCATTCTCCCAGTGGTGTTTAGGAGCGATTTATTTTATGTTATTTTTATTTTATTTTTGCAGGAATCCCAAAAATAAACTACTTCAAAATGAAGACCTATAGTCTTCATTTTGAAGTATTGATTTTCTCCAGTTGTTTTTGGTATGCAGATTTCTGCCTTTGTTGTTGTTAACTGTGATCAAACTGAGTTTAAATCCCATGAAAGAGAAACCTCCAGGTCACAGCCCTACTCAGGTTTTGCAGACTGCCAAGCCTAACCCCAAGGAAATGGCAATCTAGCTAGTCCCTGTCAGATTACATCTTTCTTCTTTAAATTATTTATTGTGTTTATATTTGAGTATTTTCATTGGTGATAAATACAGGAATCATGTCAAACCAATTCTTGCTGCGTTGAGTATTATCTGGAATAGATGAGATAAAACTTAAAAGAAGCATAGTTTAAAACTATTATTTTCCAAACAACCTATTTATTTTGTGGGTGTGAGTGAGAGAGAATGTTAAAGATACCTACTGCTATAACCCATTGCCGTGTAATACTCCAGTTACCAAACTCACCACCTCAGCTTGGCAGGCTGAGGGCAGACAGCTAGCTCACCCACTGCCTCTGAATACAACCTTCATGTTTACTTATATTGTTAGTCTTGACTGTCACTGCACAAAATACCCCTCTTTTGCTCATGTCGCTGACATAAGTGCTAGGCACTAAGTACAGGCAGGAAATAACATTGAAGGTGAGAACAGAAGTCAGCAGAGCTGTTTTGATAGCTTTTATCTCAATGGTCCAAGTGATATATACTTCTTTGTCCTTAGCTGGTCATAAGTAAAATGATGAGAGTTTGTAATAATCTTTTGAAGAGCCGAAACAGAACGAATGCCAATGTTACCGTTCTCCCATGCTTCTAGGATTATTCATGGGGTTGGGTGAGAAGGAAGTGCAATTATAAAGAGATTATGAAAGAGGAAAGTTCTATGTACAGCTGCTGCTGCTGTGTGATAAGATGATAATTCTTCTGCTTTTCCAACTGTGCTATACAGTCTGCTTGTATTATATTATATTTGGATGTAGTACTGGCTTGGAATGGGAATTGCTTTGTTGTGGACTGGTGATCTGAAATCAAGAATCAGTTCTCTGCAAAAAAAAAAAAACTTTGGGGGAAATATGTAGCATAATCCATGGGCTGGTCCATGAGGCCACGAAGAGTCGGAAGCGACTGAATGAATAAACAGCAATTCATGGACCAGCATTGTGCTAAGAAACAGGGGTTAGTACATACCTTGGCACAGGCACTTTGGGATGCTAGATAATGATTCTTGGGCTGTTGCCTTTCAGTATCTGTGTCTAGTTTGCATACTCTGAACACATTTAATATGTTTACCTCCCAGGAACATGCAATGCGTCAGTAGAATAGTGGTGAGAACATAACTCATTTTCCCGTCATTTAAAAATATACAGTAACATGAACATAAATGTGTTCTTGTGAAGATACCACTATGAGGCTTGTAGAAATGAGCATACTTTAGTACTGAGGTGAAGAATTGAGGCTTTCATGCTTTTTTCCCCCCTAATTTCCTGCTTTTTGAAAAGTGCTTTGAGTCCCAGTCTAGGGGAAAGGTGGGATATAAATAAAGGTGTAAATGGATAAATGTAGACCTAAAGCTGTTTTGGACTGTTCGTTCTATAATATCTTACTGTTGGCTATGCTAGCTAGGGTTGATAGGAACTGTAGGGCAAAAACATTGTCATCCAGCCTTTGTTATTGACTGCAGCAAAATCAACTTTGAATTATAGTGACCCTATGAATGAGAGGCCTCTATGTCACCCTGTCATCAGCCGCCCTGTTCAGCTCTTGCAAACTCAGAGCCGTGACTTCCTTGATTGAGTCTATTCATCTAGAATGCGGTCTTCCACTTTTCCTACGGCCTTTTACCTTCTCTTTTTTAGTGAGTCATGTCTTCAAATGATATGTTCAAAGTATAGCAGTCTCAGTTAGTCATCTTGGCTTCAAGGAAGGGTTAGGACCTATTTGTTAGGTTGGTTGGTTAGATCAGTTTTAGCAGTTTTAGCAGCCCACAGTATCCATAGAACTCTTATCCAGCAACACATTTGAGGTGAGTTGATTTTCTTCCCATTATCTTTCTTCATTGTATATAGAAACTGGAAATATGCTTCCATGGGCAATTCTAAGTTAAGGGTTCAGTTATATAGCTTGACACTTCAGGATCCGGTTTAGTTCTCTCATAGCTTCCCTTCTAAGTCCTAGTTTTCATATTCTTGACAAATGAGACTCCATTCTAATTAACAACTGAACCAAGGTATGATGAATCTTGAACTATTTCAATGTTTTCATAATGTATTACAAAGTTACGTGAATAATCTGTGGTCTGGTCATTATTTTTGGGGGTTTTTAATGTTCAACTGTACAATTTTCTTTCATGACTTTCTTCAGTGATAATTCCAAGGTGTTGCTATTTTGTTGCTGGTAGTAAGATATCATCTGCATATCTTAAAGTTGATTTTCCTTCCTCTAATTATCATGCCTCCTTCTTCCAAGTCTTATATTGCCTTAAATATAATGCATTCAATGTACAAGTTAAACAGACAGAGTGATAAAATGCATCCTTGCCTGATCCCCTATCTGGTTTCTACCAAATTTTGCACTGATAGTAGCTTTTGGTTCTAAATACAAATTATAAATCAAATGTTGTGGTGTACCCATTTCTTTAAGAATGGTTCACAGTTATTTATAATCTACATAGTCAAAAGCTTTACTATGCAAGCAGTCCTTGAGTTACAAACATCCAACTTACATATGACTCATAGTTAAGAACAGGGGTGAGATAATAGGAAGTGACAAGAAATCTCCCCTTAGAAAGAAAAAAATCACTCATGTAAGACTTATCATGGAAAAAGGTGCATAAGTTGCTGAACAGCTCACTCTATTTCTGTCACTTTTTACTCATGGTTCTTGTCTGTCCTTAATGCTTGAAGAGTTTAATCTTCATTCATTGAGAATTCTCTATCTTTATGGTGAATTATATATTCATTTTTATATGGTTCACTTCCAGAGTTCCTGTGTCATACTTGCTACTTCCATATCCTACCCGTGATATGCCTAAAAAGGACTTGTGGGTAGAAACCTCTGACCCAGATCCTGCAACAGTTGTTGGCAGTGCAGGCAGCTCTGACAGTATGATCAGCAACAACTCCAGTTCATCTGAAATGGTAAATATTATTTTAAAATTTCATTTTCATGAACTAAAAAGTAGGGAAGTCTTGATAGGTAATTACAGTTGGTCCTCCACATTTGCAGTTTTGACTTTTGCAGATTGAATGACCGAGCTGGAAGAGATCACAAAGGCCATTACTATGATCACTCTCCAACACAATTTGACCATAGAGTTCCTCCAGTGCAATTCTTTGGTCAAATTCTGCTGAAGGTTGGTCATGGAGCCATGCTGGAGGACCTAAAGGTTCCTAGTGAGAACATCTCTCTAGGAATCTCTGGTCCTCCAGTGAATTTCTATAGTCAACTTCCAGTGGAGTTGTGCTAGAGAAGTTATATGCATAGAGTTGGCAATAATGCCACGAAAGACAGAGCTCTGCACTGCACATCCGCCATGAGCATGAGCAAATGTATAATGTTGTAGCAGTTTTTAATTTTTTTTTGTAATAAAGGCAGGGGTGATATAAGTGTGGTTGTTTTTATTCCGTGTTCAACTGCAATACGAGTGAAAATACACAAGTATGTCTTCTTGGGTTTGTTTTGTAGCATTAACTGTCAATTGAAGCCTCCAGATTTTCATACTTAATTTTCCCAGAAGGGAAGAAACAACAGAAATATTCTAGAGAATGCAGTTTGGGGAGTGTGCCATAAGGAAACTCAGGTTATTTTAGACCAGTCTGCATGGTAATAAGGTTCTTTCTCTAGCGTACATGCAAATAACAGACATACAGTATTTTGTACTTACAAAGATGTATTATTAAAGTACATGTGCTGAAATGCCTATTGCTTAACATAGGAGCTGGTAATCCTCAACCATCCACATATTTTATCCTACAATTTCTATCAACACCATCTAGTAATGGTAAAGGGAGATGTTTGTAATCCAAAACATCTGGAGGGCCAGTTTTCCCTATCCCTGGTTTAAGACTATAATTTTAAGGGTGGAGTAGATTTCTGCTCATTGAGTATGTGGGCATTTTCATTATTGGTTCATAGTGTCCGTTTTGTGTCATTCATACATATATGGTAAAGCTAAGAAAATCACTTCCTGTTTGAATTGAGGCTTACTACTTATGTGTTAACCACAAATTATAGTTCTTAACTGACCTCACATTCATTCATTCTGTTACACGACAGAAGTGAACTTATGCATGTAATTAAATACAAACAGGGTATTTCCTCTTTTGTGTAGGCTCAACCTTACTTGATGCCTCTAAAATAAATCTCTCCAAAGTGGCCTGCCTTTAGAAGATGCAAGAAGGGCCTTAATATGTGATGGCTACAAGGCTTGACTCTAGTTATGAATTAGATTTTTATACCAGTTGGAACTTCAGTATATTACTCTATTAAAATTAATCTGAATGAGTAACTTTTAAATCAGTGGTTCCCAACCTTTGGTCTTCTGGTATTTTGGACTTCAGCTCCCGCAATTCCTAACAGCTGATAAGCTGGTTAGGATTTCTGAGAGTTGAAGTCCAAAACAACTGGAGGGCCAAAGGCTGAGAACCACAGTTTCAATTGCAAGGGGTTTTTTTGTGTGTGCAAGTGCCAGCAGCATTTCTGACTGACAGATCAATGGTTCGAATTCAATAGGCATACCCAGATGCAAGTTAAACTAAATGAGACAAGCTTTATATCATCTTCTTCCTGTGTCTTAGAGTGTTTTGTTTCTTTTTTGAAGAATGACAGCGGTTATGACTACCTATCAGTGGAGGAGAAGGAATGTCTTATGTTCCTTGAAGAGACATTAGATTCCTTGGATACCGAGGCCGACAGTGGGCTTTCTACTGATGAAGCAGAAACTTCTAAGCATCCAAGAACGTGGCCTTCAAGAGATGTTCCTAAAGGTAAGCTTGTAAGAAAATCCTGTGAGTAATTTGAAGCAGGCATGCTTCTGGGAAAACTTCATTCTTGGTTCAAAAAAATATGTGCTCATTTTCAAACTGTTTTTTTTTCTTGAAATCTTGAAGTCTATTTGACTTTTTTCTATTCTCATACAGACCCCATCAAGTGTATGTAATATAACACATCCTCTCAATGTCAGTGCCATATGAGAATTGAGTCTGCTTCTCTTCTTTTGCAGTCCACATTTCTCCCTGCTGATTATTTTCCTTTCTTAAGTAACGTTGTTGCTTCCCTCCTTGCTGAGGTGCTTGTGATAAATTAAATAAAATGAAATAAAATAAACGTAAGGGACATTACTCATTATTTTTCTCTTTCTTTCTCATCCCTTTCTTTTCTCAATGTGTAGGATTAGATCGTGAGAATCTCATAAATCATAGACAAATTGAAATACATGGCAACAAATCTGTTTCTGATCCTGTTGACATTCCAAGTCCAGGCCATCGTAGCCTTCCAAGGAACATCACTGCCAAAAGTGTCCCAAAAACAGCCAACATTTCCCTGGTTGAAACAAAAAGTTCTAAATCTGATAATCAGAAAGATCTTCCACAGATATACCTAACTTCATGGGAGTCTCCTAAAAATGAGACACTGGACATATCAAATGATCAGGTTCAGACAACCACGCAATCAAAGGTTTCAGATCTGGAATCTATGGTTATTCTACCTCCTGAACCATTTCAGGACCACAAGCAGAGTTATTCCAAAAAAGATCAAGAGTCACCATTTCTTAACAAGGTCTCCCAGACAGATGTTGAAAGTGTGTTACCTCCTCACTTTGAAGGTAGAAAGAGTGTTGACCAAGTGAAAAGTTATGAAGCAACCCAGCAGGAACCTTCACCGGAGAAGGCAGACCTAGCAAGAGGAAACGAAGTCACTTTGAAATCTGTGTCCCCTAAAGGAAACAAGAAGAGCTTTGAACAGATGTTGGATGTTCCAGAAAATGATAAAAAACCTACACAGGAAGAAACATCCCTAGATTCCAGTCCCAAACAAGGTCCCCCCACTGCTCCAAAGCCCAGAAAACTGCCACCAAATATTATATTGAAAACCAGCAGAAGTAATGTGGTTTCATACAACATTGATCCAAACCATAAGCTGAAAGCGCTTTCTCCAGCCAATGGCAGACCTAGAGCTGCAACTGGTGACTTTTCCATAGAGAAGGTACATTCTCCCCAAAAAGAACAGGAAAGAGCCAGGAGAGAAGCCCTTGAGAAGTTGGGGCTCCCACTGGATAACGAGAAAGATCTAGAGGACCATGTGGCTAAAACCTCTGCTTCCTCAAAATCAAGAGAGACATCTAGGATTTACAGTAGAGAGAATGTACATACAGAAGACATCACTCATAATAAGAAACCTGACCAGAATCCTGCCCAGATAGGTGAGGAAGAAATCTACGCAGGTGATAAAAACATCCCAGGTATCAAACAGACAATTTTCAAATCCACCACACTGGAGCGTTCAGGTGTGGGTCTGAGTAGTTACATTTGTCCTGGCACTGAGGAGCAGAACATTAAGAACAGCAGTTCCTCTGGAAAAATGTCCTTTTTTGAAAAGATTACTCCCAATTTCATCAGGAATACCCGGCCACGGCCAGCTTCCCTTGGCATGGGGAAAGACTTTGTGGATCTAAAGGAAAACAAAGTGCATAATGATGAACTGGAGAAAAATGACAAGCGAAGATCTTACCCATTTCAGCCTGTCTCCATGTTGCCCAGGCCACCTTGCACCAGTGTAAAATTCACCCCAAAGGGAGTTGCTGAGGAGCACAGAAGGGAGGCTCTTAAAAAACTTGGCCTATTGAAGGAATAAGCTGATAAGGCAAAGAATTTGTGTTCATATGTGGATAATGAGGGGTTTTTTTTTGCTTGTTGTCTTCTCATTGGTTATCTGAAATGGGAGGCATTGTAGCATTGGCTGTGTGTATAGAGGTTTTGCCTGGTGGGTTTTCAGGCTTGATGAGTTTATTCACCTTCTGTAGAAGTATGTCTAGACTGTACTTTACACCAATTAGAAGTGCCTCACCTGTATAAGATGTGTGCTTGTATATAAAGGCATGCGTATTTGTATATAATAAATATATATTATTAATGGGAAAGAGGAAATGTTTTGTAATTACTAGGGCATATAATGATATTTGGACATATACAGAGGCTTATATCATGATGATGGCCATGTGGTTAGGAAGCTTTAGCCAAGACTGAATTGCAGTTATAGTTTTTTGAAGGCTCCTTTTGAAATATATGGCACTAAAACAATATGTTGCATAAACGGAAACCAGAAGATGAGCCATGCTCTAACTATTTATTATTTAATAAATTGGCAAGAATGTGTTAGGTATAAATCTTAGGCTTTAATTTGCAAAATAAGAAGTACAGTATTTAGTAGTTCACTTACTAGCAAATGGTTAGCTAAGAACTTTAAAAAATGATATTAAAGTTGATTTTGATCTATTTTAGCTTACAGACATGCTTTATATGAAGAAACTAATGCTGAATGTTAATTTAAAATCGAAAAAATCTTTTTAGAATGACAGGTGAGAATGTGTGTTTTAAAATGATTGAATAATAAACTGTTTTATATGGGAAAATGTTTCACATTTCTTGGTTATAAGTTGAAAAAAGTCAAATAGGGCAATGAGAACTAGATGTGGGACATACCGACATTATCATGGTAATCTCAATTGAAGAGTAGTCATATCCTGTCATTGCTGTCTCTAGAAAGTTTTATAACTGACATTTGACTTCTTTTATTAAATCAGTTAAGTGATATGGTAATGACATAATGAGCCCAGGTTAAATATACCAGTGCCATAATATCAGATATTCTGGTGTTAGGATTTTTCTTTCTTCAGGAAATACTTTCTCACACAATTGCTTAAGCATCTCTATATGCCTTTCCATGCTCATATACAGTATATTGTTTTACAAGAAATTCATAAAGCATGAATACCTGAACAACATGCTTGTATTTGAGTAATTTTCTTTTGTGACTACATGGTTTAGAGTTTGATTATAGATATATTGTCAAAGGCTTTCATGGCCAGAATCACTGAATTGTTGTAGGTTTTTCGGGCTGCATGGCCATGTTCCAGAAGCATTCCCTCCTGACATCAGACAAGAATGCTTATCGAACATGGCCATACAGCCCGAAAAACAACCCAGTGATGCTGGCCATGAAAGCCTTCGATAATATATCTATAATCAAACTCTAAACCATGTAGTCACAAAAGAAAATTACTCCAATTACTCGAGTGAATGAATGTGGGTCCAGAAAAGAAGGCATTGTGCAAAGGGAAGGGGGCTCCTGCTAAGGCAGAAGGCAAAGCCTCTTTTAGGCTTGGGCTCCGTGGCTGGGCCTTCTTCCCACTCCCGCCAGCAACCGCAATGACAGTAGCATTGTTCTTCCAGGGCACAGACCCTTTCTCCCACACCCACTCATCACCCAAACCCTTTCCCCTGTGCCCCCTCACCATGCAGACCCTTTCCTCTACAGCCCTCACCATGCAGACCCTTTCTAAATATATAAAGTGTCTTTGGCTGTGATCCTGTAGATCAGACTGCAATATGGTGTAAGGGATGAATGGGTCCCAGGGAACTGCCAGGTCACCTTTCTTTGGTGCCCTCTCTCACTATGTGCTCTTCCAAAAAGTGACTCTGTTAAACTAACAGGCAGTATGCTGGTCTAAGGTATGTGATTCCAGGCTTTTATTATTAGCTCAACAGAAAACAATCTTCAAAACTACAAACAATTAATTAAAACCTTGCTATTTTGAGGAAAACTCCAGTGTGTGACCTTTACTGGTATGTTGTTCTACATAAAGTTCATAAAAACATGAATACTTTGATAACACGCTTGTGTTTGAATGTAGTCGTTTTGTGATGACAAGGGTTAGATTTGTGATGACACAAATCTAGCTTGATTGTAGCTAGATTTGTGTGTGTGACCTGATTTTAAATGGGAGAACATAAGATCAACACATTTACTGGTTACGGTACAGGAGTGTCTTTTGAGCTTCATGTTATGTCTAGGATAATTGGTGCTAATCATTTACAAAAAGTATGAGTACAATGGACTCTGAGACATAGGAACATTGTGAGTAGAATCCCTTCAGGGGAGTACTCTTAGTATCCGCTTAAAAGCAAACTAGATTATTTGATGACATTTCTAGTAGACCAGCTCAATTGATATCAATTTTCAATTTTTGGATAACATTTTATATTGGTAGTTGATTCTTGCTGTTTAAAAAAAGTGCAAATAATCTTTTGATATGTAACTATTTCTAAGATTAAAGGAAGTAGAAACCAATGTGGAAAGGAACTTGGGGTGTGTCTCCTGTGAAATGACTGACACCATGATCTTAAACTAAACATGCAGAGAAGTTTTGCTTGATTGAATGTAACTATTTCTGCTTGCATAACATTTTTGGCACATGGGCTCTTTCTGTTTAACTGTAACAGTTCATTGCAAAACCCAGAAGAGCTTAATTTTGTTCCTATACTAACCCAGGATGTTTAGTTATAGGTTATACAATGGACAATGCACAAATCTACCTTCTGCAATAGGTGCATAACCATAAGACTCTGTTAGTTCCTTGCACATGTATTGTTCTGCTATTTAATCCACATTTTGGTGTTGTTTTAGTAACAACTCAGATCAGTTTTTGAAGTTGCAAACAATTTTGAGAAAGAATCCTTTGGGTAATAAATTGCTGAGGAATTTTGAAGGGCAGTATTGGATAACATGTAATCCCTGGTGGCACAGTGCGTTAAAGCGCTGAGCTGCTGAACTTGCTGACTGAAAGTTAGCAGGTTTGAATCCGGGGAGCGGCGTGAGCTCCCGCTGTTAGCCCCAGCTTCTGCCAACCTAGCAGTTCGAAAATATGCAAATGTGAGTTGATCACTAGATACCGCTCTGGCGGAAAAATAATGGCCGGCCACATAACGGCAGTCATGCCGGCCACATGACCTTGGAGGTGTCTATGGACAACGCTGGCTCTTTGGCTTAGAAATGGAGATGAGGACCAACTCCCAAAGTTAGACACAACTGGACTTAATGTCAGGGAAAAATCTTTACCTTTTATACCTTTTTTTCAGTGGGACCATAGAAAAGTGTTGAGCCTAATTTTGTTTTGAGCTCGGTTCCTTCCTTGTGATCCAGGCCAAGTTTGTTCAAATTTGAACTGCAAATTTGCATTGAGAAAACCAGATCACCATTAGGAGCTTATAGTTATACAAATTTAAAAATAGCCTCCCTTCTTTTACCAGACAAAATGAGCTGTTTGGAAAAGATATATTATTTCCAGGCAGATCTCAATGGGGAAATTAACCTTTAACCCCTCCTTGAATACCTTTCACATGAATGTCACATTTTATATATATTGCTCAGATAGGCAGACAGTGAATGATGGCTTTGCGAGAAAAATGAGCAGCAGTTTTTACCTGGAGTTTGGGTTGCAACAGGCCCATGCATGCAGCTTTCTAGTTCAGGGGATCTGTTTTGCATAGCAGTCTTTGTTCTTGGCGCAGCTGTGATGTTATGCAACACTTACTTAGTACATGCACAAGGTCACCGTAAAGGACATATTATGGTTTTAAAGCCACGTTTTCAGTCCACAAAAGTCTCGTATTGATTTTAGCTCAGACTCTATGAGGGCTTTTTTAAAATAGAAAAAACAACTTGCTCTTTTGATTTTCAGTGACTCTTAGTATCACAATGACGTTTTACAAATTGTTTGGTTTAATTGTTTGTTTTTTGTTGAGAAGTGGAATAAATCTTGAATGTTACCCATGCTGCAGTTCTGGTTCACAGTTCAGTTTACAAATTGGATGTTATTGCAGCCACCCTTAAAATGTCAACTTGTTTGGTTTTTGTTTCTGTTTTTTTTTGTAATTGCCATTTCTGTTTCATCTTCAACACAACATGGAATGGCTGGAGGAGGTGAAGAGCTGCCTTCAGCTAGTCATTGCTTTGAAATCCAAATTTTCATGAGAACCTTAGAAATATTTTTTCCACCATTCTTTACTAGAGGAGGTGAGAAGAGGCTGTACAGAGGCATGTAGCCAGGGGAGGGGCTTGGGGAGCTTCAGGCCCCCCCCCCTCGAAATTCTCATGGTGGTCCGCGAGAAGGCCTTACTGGTACATTATTTAAACTGTTATGTTTATTCATATCATGATCTGATCACTATGCTCAATATATCCCATCTACATGGGGGTATTGGGGTAACAATACAAAAGTTTTGCTAGGGTAGACCCTTTTTCACTCAGACTCAGCCCCCCCCCCAATCAAACTCAGTTCCCCCCGAAACAAAATCCTGGCTACGGGCCTGGCTGCACATAAAGGAGGTCTGTACACAGGATCCCAATTTGGAGCCTGATATGTAAATCTTGATCTAGGGATGTTATCCCATAGGCGGGAGAAAAGCAGGGGAAAGCGTCTTGAAGAGTGGGGACCCATCTTATCCTGGCAAGGTCCATCTTCGGGGATGGCCAGCCATCTCATGACATTTCACTGTCTTCTTCCAACTTTCCTTCGTTTCCTGACACTTTCTTCAATCAGGCGTCTAGAACACCGAAATGGAATCTTCTTACCATCAAGACAGAAAGGGACTGTGTGTCATGGGATGGCCTCAATGGGACTTGTTTTTTTCAGTGTATGAACACAGTAAGATAATGGGAGAAGGTTAAAGTGGGATAACTTCATAAGTCAAGTTTGTTCCAATTTGAATTCCATATCTTAATTGAGATTTGGAGATACAGATCACCAACCCTCTGCCAGGTATTATGCCTTCCTAGTAATCTTTCCCACATCTCAAGCAGCCTCAATTGTGTCAAAACAAAATCACTGCTTACAAGCTTCAACAATGGAGAAATTATTTCCTTTAAGGCTTTTCCCATACTGTGAGTTTACTGACTATCAAACATCCAATTGAACATTAGAGGCACTTTAGTGGATGAATAAAATGGGAAGATATGTTATGCGTCTTGTATCCATCTCCAGACAGAGAGAAACTATAAATAAGGAATTTTTACTTCAGTAAGTCTTTTAATACTTAACATGGAATTTTATAGGCATTTGTATTTTATAGCTATATATATTTCTCTAGCTATAATAGAGACATGCAGGGCTTTCCCCCCTTCCTAATGCAAATTCTCTGCCACATTATGAATTTACATATATTTCATTTCATTTATATGATTCTTTGTATTTTGTTTGACTTTACCAATATTGTAGGAATAATATAGGATTCTCAAATGAATGTTTTCAAAATATGAATTGTCAAATAACTTTTTCATGTTATTCTGTGTGGTTCTAAAATCGTCTTTTGCAGCTTATATGGCTTTCTTGTGCCTCATTTCGAAGGGACTTAGCTGCACCTGAATTTCTCTGAATTGCATTGTGTATGTGTCTTATCCCAAAGGCCCAATCTAAAGTCATACTATATATGGAATATGATTTAATGCCATAAATATGCTTATGCATGGAGTAATGCAAGCTGGCTCATGACTAATTGAGATAATTGCATACCTGGAGTCAAAATTTGCTTTGATAAACAGGTTTAAGCCAATGTATTTGTCTGACATCCTCAGGATACTATTTTTGGGTTGCTTCTTCATTTTATCATAGACTTCTCTGAGGACGTTTGAGAGATATTTATATGATCTAAGCAACTGACAAGCATCACCAGACTTCCTTTAATTTGATCTCATATCACTGCAAACTTGATGGACACCCTATATCACAT